CTCCCCCCCCCCCCCCCACCCCACCCCTACCTTGTACGCTTGGCTCGCTCCAGTCGCCAATTCGTCGACTGCTATTCAGCACAAATCAGGATATTATACTATGCCTTTCCATAACACGTGAACCACCGTCTAGCTGTTGCTGTCGTCAATCACCCGAGCAACTAGCTTTGCTCCGGAGAGTTCAAAAGGTAACTTCTGTGAATTGTGATAGGTAGATATCGATCCGTTTATTTTTATCCAGGTTCGTCGGGTTTCTTCTTGTGATTGACGGCCGCGAAAAAGGCAGTCATCAGTTAGGTTCTGAACTTCAGAGTTCGCGTGTTATTGAAACAATAGCCTCCATTTGCGGCGAAATATGCTCATTGACATCATGACATTATCTGTTCGGAGAAGCGGGTCTGTGAGCTTTGAGGAACAGATCATGTCCAAGGACAAATATCCGAGCACATTTCCGCGCCAAATGGAGGCTACTGTGTTTATTATCGTTCAAATATTTTTCGCAACACGCGCACGTTTGAAAATTGGGGAGTATCACTCGGATATTCCCCAGTGTTAGCTGGGGAATATTCAGTCACGTGACGTGTTTAGACTAAGCGCGCGTACGAGAAAATATTTGATGGATAATAATGTACAATATTTCTGAAAACCTTTGTAGATTTATCGTAGAGACGTCCTTCCATGTAAATATAACATTTATTTTATACACGTAATCGGTGTGTCACATTTGTAGAATGCGCACTCTAGTTCGGAAGGAGTTATTTCATCGGTTGTGAAAACAATAAATAACAGGTTAAATCAATGCCCTTGACTTGGAAAAAGAATACAAGTAGTGTTTGCTACGGGTTTGTAGATTATCTTGCTGCATACTGCGCACTGTTTTTAAGTATAAGCCGTGCAACCGTTTCATTACAGAGACCTAACTATACACAGGCTAATTTGAATGCATTTCAGACTAACCACTGCGCAAAGGGTCCGCAGGTCCGCGGAATGCATATGAACGTCGGGGTGCGTTCCTTTGAGATGATCTGGATCAATGATCCAAGATCGCAGAGATCATGGTGCATCAAAGGAACTGATGAATCCACTCTGATCACAGATTTATCGGTGCCTTTGATGCACCATGGTCTGAGTGATCTTGGATCACTGATCCTGATCCAGATCATCCCTAAGGAACGCACCTTGTACTCCGGTTAACATAAATAGAATTATCTTTAGGAATGTTAAGATATCAGAAACTCCAAAAAATATCTATAGTTTTTAAAAATTAAGGTGTTCAACAAGTATCCTCAATTCAAAATTGCTTTTCACCGTTTTTCCTACATTTGTTCAACAAAAACATTAGTAAAGTATATTCCTTCCTACTGTGTTTATCTTGCCCTGAATACTTAAAGACCCAGGTTTGACCAGGATGCATTGCGCGCTGTGAGCATTGGAAAACAATAGAACCCTCGCTATCATGTAAACCAAAACAATAACAGATGCGTGGAAAGCGTTATGGTCAACACTGAGTCTTTAAATTATGGAGCCTCCCAAACTACAGACACCACCTGCCAACATATACATACGTCCCTCAACAAAACAGCTGTTACACTATCGTTATTCTGACACCAAATCGTAGTCTTGAGTGTGAACGTTGGAACGTTAATTGACTGTGTTGGGTTAAAATAATATGGTGAAATTTTCTCTTAATGTCATACTCCGCCGTAATGAATACGAAACTACGAGCAGTTTCTTTTTGCATTTCTTCCCGCACTATAGAAAAAATGGGAAAATAAAAACTACGCCCTTTTAGCAGCATCTTTCAAAACTAACAAAAGACGTTTACTTATAGTATGAATGATATATACTAGTTATGTAACACTTTCTCTAGGTACACCATGGAATATCCCACCAGTCACTTGTATTTTTATGTGAAGAGTGGGATATTCCATGGTATGCCACCAGATAGTGTTGCATAACTATTTTATACCATACCGTAAAAAAATACAGTGGTCAACACACTGAGTGCAGCGCACGATGGGACGTTTGGGTGTAATGCCGTCGAGCATGCAACGGCTTGCCTTTTCTTTTATTGTATGGTGCGGTATAAATGTGTCTACGATATGCACATGCTCTCTAAATATATGCTTTCTTTCAAAGTAGCACTTCTTGTCCATGCTTTGTCCATACCATATTCTCATCAGCACTTCTTAGCAATTGCATTTGTTACAAATATTCATTGCATTTCCCCGCTTACAAATTTAAGTTGTTTTCACCTGAGTGTCGAAAGTAATTCGTAGTTACTTTGGTTTTGAATTACCACTTTTCATCCAATCAGATGTAAAAACAAAACCAATCGTGACTCGTGACTCGGTCGCACTTGTTTTCCAACTCTTCGCGTTAGCTACATATGCATTTACTTCGAGTTCTGATTGTTGCACTGAATTTTATGTGTCCTTTGTGATTGGCGAGAATGATCGCTTTAGTTTTGGTTTGATGGCACTCATTTGAAAACTGCCCTATTCGAATTATCAGTAACTAAAATATATTCTGTGCCTCTTCCGACAGCACCACGATTTCATCATCAGAGTCATTGATCCGATTCTCGTTTGAATCACCAGTTCTGTGTGAACCAGAACGAGTATTGTCCAAATCATTCATTTCCGTCTGATTGTCGCCGCTCGTACCTTCCTTGTCCAAATCTACTTCTTGAGAGGATACTTCAGAGCTAAAAGAAGTTTGGAAAGGCGGGTTGCTCTTGCTTAATCCACAACCTTCTAGCAAATTAACAACATGTCTGCTGTGTGCCATCAGGAGGGGATCGGGCTTTTCGACATTTGGAGTCATCATAGCCTCGTTCTTGCCAGTCAGTATGGCTTTCACTTCCTCGGGCGTATCAGGATAAGCGTGCAGTTGAAGACAGATCTGTTCAGCTCTGATTAACACTTCTTGAACGTCGATGTTGTATGCCAGATCGTTTATGTACTGTAAAGACAAAGAAATTCATCATGTGTTGGTAAAACACACAGAAGAAGAGGACGCTATAAACCATGATAGAAACAGAAGCGCGCCTTCCACTCCCACCCGCAAGGCAAGATTTACTGCTAGTGCCACACCAAAAGGTGTGAATGAGATAAACGTCCATCAGAAAAAACTTCGGGTCTAACTAAATTAACAAATAGATTCCATGTTGTCGTGGGTCAGTTCAGTACGGATCACAGATGACGCCAAAATGTAACAAGAACAAAAAGGTGGTACACGAGCCATTAGGCGAGTGTGTCACTGATGTTCAGTTATTACCATAATTTGACGCCTTCTGTGATCAAAGGGGAAAACTAGGTCCGTAACTTACATTATTATATGGCTCTGTCTCACAAGGACTGGGAACTACCAAATTCACGAATTTGATTGGCTGAAATCTAGACCGGTATCTAGACGGTGTTGTTTTGCAGTGAAAAAGTTGCTAACTAAAATGCAAAGTCATTGATTATTTTCATCTAACAATATTTATTATGGAAGTGCCAAAAAGCCTGATGAGAAAAAAAAAAAAAACAGTAAAGAGGACAAGCAAACTTTGGCAGAATTAAATTCAGCTCATCGCCGTTCGCAAGCAAAATGCCAGTTAGCACAAACCAGTTACATTAAACGAATTAAATTGTTCTTGTCTGCACCATATAATAAACATCCCATTAACCTAGCTTAGTCGGTCTGTATGGGAGAATCTTGACCTCGGTCGTGTGTACAGACTTTAGCGCGTTCGGTCTGCACTCACGACCTCGGTCAAGATTCTCCCAGGCAGACCTCCTGCTAGGTTAATAAGAGCTAAGTACGGACCTCGAACTCAGTAAATGGCACAATTGACCCCCTTGATAACCACAACAGGCAATGTTCAGCTTAACTGGGTACATATTCTTTGTCTTTAGAGACGAGGAGGCCGGTAATGCCTCCTTCCTCTGCGCCCAGTGAAGAAAGCCCAGAAATACCTAATAACGTTATGATTTGTCAATATTTCACGCACCTTAAGTATATCTGTAAATCCAAAACCATTCTCCATAATAACATGACGGTGTCTGTCCAAAATGGCTAAGCAAACCATCAAGTGATAATTTGGGGACAGTCTCTGTGACCACAATGTCTAAGAAATAAAATAATGGCATGGTCGTGAACCATCACCTCATCGTAATGACATCTTGAGTATCGGTGACAAGGTTAGGGTAAGAAAATGCAGAAAATGGTACCAAACGGATCGCGCAGATGTTTTCTTGGAGGATAAAAATGCGTCTGAAGCCGCTTGGAATTTCCACGTTAGAAATATAATGGCGTCACCGGATTGGCTATTTCTAGACCCTCCTCCGGGGTGAACTAAAAATAACTTTAGAAGGATTACCTTAGCAACAAGGCCTGTATGGAGGATTAACTCTTCCACTCTTCAACCTCTCTTGGATTGATTCATTTGGCAAATTGTTGAATAATGAAACAATTCCTCTGGTCAATCGAGTGATATTCACGGCCGGATAATTGTTTGTACAACAACAAACTCAACAAATGTTCTTAAGTAGTAAAATACGGTACACAAGGATAAATGCACAGGCTTACCTCCCATAATGTCATGATATCAGGAAAGGAGAACTCACGCTTAAAGCAAATAAGAAGCCATCTGAAGCAGAAGTACAGGTTACCAGAGTCGTGATTTTCTATGTAAAAACAAGATTTGAAGTGTGAGATTTAATGTACAAAGCAGTTCAGGCTAAGTGCAGTGTAACTGACAACAATCGAAGACGCGCTTTCTGTCCTATTCATTCTGACTTCACGTTGTAACCTGAACGAATGAGTTTCTGAATTTGGTTTTGTGGGTTTCCTTTGAATCTTACTAAACTACAGCAATCGATTCAAGCTTGAATAAGCCATCAAAAATCAGATTCAGGTTGCCTCTAGATTGAACTAAATTTTTCAGATTTTCGTTCCAGCGGGAAGTATGAGCCAGGACAAGAACACGCGGGATAAATGTACTTTACATCAGCATGCACACTGTCTGAATAGATGCTACACAGTTTCTATGGATTCTTGGTGTAAGTTATTTCTTAAAGAAATTTACCCATAAATAACACCACACTCTGGGTAGATATCTCGGTTATGCCGGGATTTAGCTATGCTTCTTACATGTAGCTTTGCCAAGGTGAATAATAAGGAGAACTCTAAAGGCTGGTTTTCACTAGTGATAGAGTCGTAGTCGGAGTTGTAATCAGAAGCGCAGAGCGATACGATCAAATCAGCGAAAATCAAAGTGATGGAGCCGGAAGTAGAAGACTGATTCCGCTTATGACTCCGCTTATGATTCAGTGAAAAGTAGATTGTCAGAGTTAGAAGCTAAAGCAGAAGAACAAACCAATCACAATACTCGATTCTGGGTCTTATGATTGGTTTGTTCTTCCGCTTCTGCTTCCGACTCTGCCAATATAGTTTTCACTGGCTCATAAGCGACGGAAACGTTCTGATTCTTCTGACTCCGATTCCGTCATCACTTATCACTCCGCTTTTCACTATGTCGTAAGCACCCTTATGAATCCAACTCAGACTCCGTCACTAGTGAAAACCAACCTAAAATTTCTGATGTTTCCAACACTTCCCTCTTCTCTTCTTTCAATCACAAATTAATGATAAATGCACCTTCCAACTAATTTTTTTTTTTCAAAGATCAATAAATTGCTTTATTTAGCAATGCAGAATGAATTGTGCAAACGGAGAAAAATTAATGTGTTGAACTAAGGAAAAACACTTTAACATCAGTTGAGTTAATTACCAAGATAGGTGTAGAAATGAGGATCAACAAACTTGAGTAATACACTGAGCTGATGGAGCTGTGCTTTCATTCCTTCTTGATTCACATCAAAATTATGAGCCTAGCAGGAGACAGAAGAAAAACCAGACCGAAATGGTTATTACATCTTAAAATCCATTATTATTTTAGCTTGCACGCAATTGGTTTAAACACATCATGTGACTGAATATACCCCAGTTAAAACTAGGGAATATCCGAGTGATATTCCCCAAATTTCAAATGTTGCAAAAAATATTTGAAGGATAACAAACACAATAGCCTCCATTTGACTTCAAAAATATGCTTGGATATCTGTCCTTGGACATTATCTGTTCCTCAGAGCTCCCAGTGTCCTCAAGCTTCGCTCTCAGAACTGTTTGCTTCCCAGAACAAATAATGTTCATGGACAAATATTTGAGCATATTTTGGCAACAAAGGGAGGATATTGTTTTTATACCATTGCCACTATTGACCCGACCTATGCACATATAAAACCTGTGAAAATACTCACAAGCTGGTTTAAAAGTGTTAAAATACCAATAAGTAGAGCTGAATCATGAAACAACTAATATATTTTTTACCAATGAGCCTTCTGACTGTGCAGGTTTCTTACCAATTTTTCCATGAAACCAGCAAAACACCAAAAAGCCTCAACTTCATCCTCCATGAGAAACAATATTGGAGAAAGAAGATCACTCATGCCTTGCACATAGCCTAGGAAACAAGTTTGCAAGTGGATAAATGGAAAGGATCTAACAGGGAAAAACTCTGCTTATTTATCATTCTATAAATGACTTGTTGAGTAGTTATCAGGACTGTCATTAAGGACCGTAACCTGTAACACCTGCTATGGCCGAGTATGTTTGATGGGGCCTTGATGTTATGGGTGAACTGGACTATAGTTGATACAATTCACCCATGAGGTAACAAGTTTGTTTCAGGTGTGACAATCAAGGCTACAGTTCACTCAAAACTCAATGACAGCCCTACTTATATTATCAGGGATTGAGATTCACTGTTCCTTCAGTTTACATGTACATTTGTGACATCAATGACAATTTTTAGCACTTTTCAGATCGTTACATACCTGTTTGATTACGTATCTTCAAATTCTATATTACTAACAAAAAACTTGTACCCCTTAGCAAAATAAGCCCTCTAGGAATTATTCCTATGCAATGCCTTTTCAGGGACACTTAACAATGAGACGTTGGGTGTGGCTACTCTAAAAACCTTTTGATAAGTCCTTTGATTTTGCCCTGTTGTAGCTATTCTTGGGTAACCATTTGCTTTGCAGAGAACACCAAACAGGAAACAGAATGAGACTTTAAGGAGAAGAGGTAGTTTGCAGGCAGGCATTTAAATGAGAGGGAGACGGGTAAATGATAAGCATGAAGCCCTTCTCATTTCCCCTCTCAATCCACTTTGAACACCTGTCACACAGGCTAGAGTTATTATTATTATAGAGTAGGTGTTTGGGGGACAAAATAGAACTTCACCTACTTATCTAACTGTGAGTAAATCATTGTACTTACCAAGATCAAAATTATACATGCAGTAAGTTAAAAGTATGTCATAGAGTTTCTTCACATTAGAGTGGTTTGCTTCTGAATAGAATACATGTAATCGGTCGGTTCTTGCTACATCTTTGTCTGTGAAAGCAGTCAAGAAATCCTATTTCGTGTATCTTACATGAGATATACAAATTTTAGTGTACTGTGATAGATGTAATACATTTAATTTAATTTCTAAATAATTATTATTTGTGATTGTAATAATGTATATCTTATTATTCTGCACAATAAAAATGTGTATTATTAAAAAATGAACAGCACTATGATATATAGTTTCCATAGTAACCTGTTATGTTAAGGGAGTGATTATAACAATTTTTAACATTGACTGTTCAAAGTAGGGGTATTGCCAGTCCATTTAAGACCGATACAGTTGTAAATCACATTGCAGTCATGTTATTTAGTGGTATATTTCAACATTCACCTCTAGTGGATGATCTTCTTAATTCTCACTACCTATCTACTTAAGATCATAAATTTTGATATCACAAGGATAAGTTTGATGTTTATCATTCCTGGATATTTTAATACTAATAAAAGAGTTAACTAACACAACTGATGACCAAGAACATACTTATAATATTTTGCCTATATACAGTATTTTGTCCTTACCTATCAGATGCTTTCTTTCTCTAAATTCAGAAAAGTTCTTTTCTTGTGTTTTTGTCATGGACTGCCACTGCCACTTCATGCTTCGATATTCATCTCTAGAAGTACAAACAAATGGGATACAAAAAATAAAGCTCTTAATAAACATCTTGATCAAGTCCAGATAAAAATTTAAAAAGAAAAATGTCATGGTTTTTATGAGTCTTCTCACATACATAACGTATATTGATGAGGGCAACCTGAGCTTTCTTTTAATTCAGATTTAAAGCAAGCAGAAGAGATGGTCCAGACTTCAACGTTTTTTACCATTACTGATCATGAATCAGTCATCAAACAGCACATAGAGACCACAGATCACAAAATCTATTCAAGCTGTACAACAGTTCTTGATAGCAGTACACTACATAAAAATTCAACTTTCGTCAGGGCCTGTCTGGCAGCTGTAGACCCTAACTTGGTGTTAAAAATTAGACTAAATTTTATGTTCAATAACAGCTCGGGGCAGTCATTGACAGCCTTAACCTGCAGTAATACATGTTACAGCTGAGTATGCTTCAATGGGCCCATAATGTCACGGGTGACCTTGCTTGTTGTTCGTACAATTCACACACAAACCAACAAGTTTGTTACAAGTGTGAAGATCAAGGAAACAGGTACAGCCCTGCAGCTTAGCATGTGCATTATACAGTATAAATACTATAAAGGTACTTGTAGAGGTAGAAGGATATTTTCTCTTGAATATATCAGTTGATATATATGTAATAACTCAGACATGATGCAGGAATTAGTCACCTAAAGTGTGCCTCAGACTACATGTACCATCTCCCAAAACTATGCACTTACTCTTTTCTTTTGAAGAGGGCTTGCTGTGACTGTGATGTATAGCCATACTTCTTGTACCCCAAGAGATACTGCCAAACTGCTTTACGTATCAAATCATCAACACCCTGGAAAAGTATTTAATGATACGTCACACCCAAAACAGAAAAGCCAAATGACAATAATCCTCTAAATTATATGTGTAGAATTAAAAAGTGTTTCACCCTTTCATCCTATGGCAAAGGACATCCGATTTTTCAGTAGCCATTTATTACCTGACAATGTATGTTGTCAGTGTTACTGTAACAATGATACTGACAACATGCACTGCCAGGTGTACAGAACAACTTTTACTAGTCAACACAAAATAATACCTACATGTACACAGTCAGGGCATTAACTAAACGGCATAAAGGTTTTTCCTTTTAAACGTAATGAAATGAATGTTGAGTAATGTAATTAAAAAAAAATGAATTAAAAAATAATATTTTTTAATTTAATTATAATAATTTTATTGGGCTCATTAAAATTCTTCATTAATCATCATCATCATCATCATCATCATAATCATCATAATAATAAAAATTATGGGCATGCAATGCATGCAAAGGAGTCACTACAGCTTCAGAGACATATATGTAAAATTGCATTCCCATAAGCTATTTAACAAATTGACATCAGTTTTCCATGCATCTTTCTTGTAATTGATCATGAATTTCATCATAACATTGTCAAAGTAGCTGTAGACTACTTTGACGATGTTATGACAAAATTCATTGTCAATAACAAGACATACGCATGAAAAACTGAGGTCAATTTTTTTTACAACAACAAAGTCAACTTCTTCGCATAGATCGCATAGATTATAACAACATCGCATAGTCTGTCCGCTTATTCACAATGAAAATTAGCTAATCAGTGTGCGACAATTTCTGCAGTTATTCTGAAGTGTATGATGCTCCTGGGTGCTTGTCAGTGACACTAAAATTAATTACAAAACAAATTAATAAGATCACACTGTTATGAGAAAAATTATGAGATTAGAAAACAGCACATACCCCTCGGAAAATTCTATCATGTAGCTTCTTGACATCAGTGACTCGTCCTGCATCATCCAAGAATGACTGCCATTCATTCAGTCGCATGGGTTCACCACGTGCTACTTCTGGAAATTCACCAAGATCTCGCTGCAGACATAAAATTATGTACAAAATATCACAAAATGATCCTTAAGCAGATAAAACAGGCTAATTACGGTACTCTAATACCTTGAGTTTATTTTAGCAAGAAATTCAATTTGGAACAATTTGTACGCTGAGGGGAGCAAGTGCTGTGAAAGAACAAAGTAAAATGTCTTGTCCATGGCCACAAGACAATGATTTCAGCCAAGACTACTACCCCTTGGATGGGATGCTAGACCATAACAAAGGTTACCCCAACATTGACTTTGCCAGTACTCATTAATTTATACATCTGGGTAGAGATGAACCTGACCAAGGCTCGAACCCAGATCGCTCAATCCAGAATCCAGCGTGCACTAACCATTAGGCCACCAGTTGCCTCCTGCAAAGTATAAAGGGGTAAATTCTCTGGGTAACTTGATATAATGGTGGGGAGTGCCCTCTGATGGGGGTACCAACCCATCCTGTGGACGTACCAGTCATGGCACAGAAACTGGAGTTAAGTGCAAGGGCTCAAAAAGCACTAGATGTAAATAAGGGTCATTAACCAAGCATGAGAACAAGACTGCTGAATATTGGCCAAGTTCTTTTTTGTGTGTTTATGTACCAAGACAGCCAAGGTCCATAACATGAAGGAGGCCAATATCTAGCCATCTTGACCAAACAGGCTTGGTCAATTAAAGGATTCATTATTATGGAAAAGTCTGAATGCTATTTTCTTGTCGGACCCAATGGTTAATTCCGAGCAGGTAGGATAACACCACCTTGCCTGCTCAGGTAGTCAATCACAGCACAGGATTCTGTTCATCTTGCCCACTTACGGAGCAAGCCATTTTAAGTACATGTAAATACTACAAACTTGGTACCTTATTTGGTATTGATGTAGCAGAGTGGTTAGTACATGAAACATCTCCAAGGTCTTCAAACTCTGCTTCTCTCTTCTGACTGCTACCCAGCTGGTCGTCTCCTTGAGGATTTTCTGTTCCCTGCTGTAAGCCTTCATACACATCTCGAACATACCGCGTCACTTTTGACAAAGCGTCCATGCCATCATAATATGCACTGTGAATGAATCTTTGCCACTACGAATCAATCACGAGCAATTACAAAAGGTTATTGATCAGCAGTACAATGCAAATTCATTTTTTTTAATCAATGAAGTAGTAAGTAAGAGACTGTAAAATGATCATGGGGAAGTGTATTTATTGTACATAACTCTTATCAATTTTTTTTCACAAAATATAAAATGTAAATTGTAGGATTTCATCTCAGTATTTCTTATGAGACTACACTACTGAATTCGATTTCAAACAGAAACAGTGACAAGTACAGTCAAGTACCGGTACATGGCAAATTTGATTGCTCCAGTGTGTGCATACTTATTTGTCCTATTTACAATTGCAAGACTGACACATATAGTTCTGCACAAAAGTAATGCAAACACATTTGGAACATAACACCTGACTTTAGACAAAGCATCCTTTCTATGCCATGCAAAGTGTCATACACTGTGCTGTACAAAATACACTGTACATAGTAACACTACATGTATATTTCCACTCTAAATTTCTAGACAGGTGTAACCGGTATTCAACATTGATCAAAAGGCTAGTGAATGAATTAACAGAGGGAATGTGTATTGTTGTACTGTCAGCTACAGTGTAACTTCACAATACAATAAGTTACACAAAATGTATTTTAGAATTAAAACTAGTGAAATTACTAATGAACAAAATTTCTCCATCCTCAAGACAGCATTCTGAAATGTTTATCTAAATCTTCTCTTATTAGAAAAGGCATTGTTTACAGCATTTTAAAAGAGACTCTAAATTTCAAACACTGAAGGCATTCTTACAGGAGCAGCAGAAGGTGGATTGTCTTCAGAGAACAAATTAAGTTGATCAAGCGACTGCTTTAATGCACTGTGTTCCTCTGCCACAACAAATAACTTAGTGTTGTAGGGTGATCTGATGAGAAAGGCAAACACAAAATCCATCATTAAAAACAGATACAAGTACATACTATGTTATAGTTTAAAATGTATGTTAGCTCAAAACAATTTCGAACTAGTTGCCCAGAACCTTGTGATGAAATGGCTACTCACTTTGTTAGCCAGATGTATCTCTGCAGTCGACGGATCATTTCACTTATGCCCCCAGAGTGAAAATGAAGGGCTGGCAGAGTGTTGCCATCTTTTAAAATAAATACAGCATAAGACCAGGTCAGCTTAGGGTCTGAGCGTCTGATGGAGTGCAAGTCTGCTGTGTTGAAATGAATGGCATATTTGGACCTTCTTTTCTTCTTATGAGCACTTGCACCTGTAAAAAAGCATTCAGACAAGGGTTTTATTTAATAGCACATACTGCACCTACATACATGTACTAGGAAAACAAACACATAATTGGTAAAAGTTTTCTGAACATCTAAAGCATTTCAAGAAATATGGGTTTATGCATGTCAGTCTAAATTAGCTTCAGATCAATCATACACTGTAAGTCAAGAATATTCTTCTTTTACTCTTCTCATGAATTAAATCATACACGATCTTGAAGTAATATATCAAACACGAGAGACAGTATAGTGTTTCATTGGGATATCCAAACACCAAGAAGAGAGACAGTTGAAAATATAACATGCAGCAGAGTGTTTTTGACGAGATTAGAGGTGTTTGGATAGCAGATGAAACAGTATTTGACATATCTTCTTAATCGAAACAAAAACTACGGACTAACTACCACTCAAACGTGTTGCATAACTAGCTAGCATGACCTATCATTATTATTATTATTATTATTATTATTATTATTATTATTATTATTATCCTCCTCACGTATCATTATTATTCATTAGATATGATGGAGAATTCTCTGAAAGGAGGCATTAGTGCTGGAGCTGCATGATCTGATTCATCTTGATAGTAATTCAATAGCAGATCGATATGAATACAGTGCTCATGCTGTAGCATGCCTTTGGTTATAACACTGCTGTTTATATACTACGATTATCAGTTGAGTAAGGCGGGACGAAAGTTCGGTCACCAAGTTTTAACGTAAAAATCTTGTTGTTGTCACGAGCAACTGGCTCCGTATCCATTGGCAACTTGTTGGCCTTTGACATCATTGGCAGCAAAGCGCACGAAATTGTAGGCGACGCGACAGGTGATGCACAGCCGTTGATATTGTTACCAATGGAAACGAGGTAAGTTGCCCTTGACAACACCATAATTTTAGGGCCAAAACTTCGTAACCAAACTTCCCTACTGCCTTACTCAACTGATAATCGTAGTAATTAAAATATTAAAATTAGAAAGGAATCCAGATGCATAATAAAATACACGTACCTTGCTCTTTGCTTTGAGTCACAAGGTCCCACTCAGAATAGTCACTTGACTCAAGTTCAAATTCTTCTTCTTCATTAACAACAGGCGACCAATCCACAAAACTGCCATTTTGCTGAATTAATGAAAATGGGTATAAAGAATCCTCAATTACTCATCTTGCTGATTTACAACTTTTAATCTTTTCAATATCACTTTTACTGTTTTAACGTATCACTCAAGCATTTTTAAATGATTTATCACAAAAGCAAACAAAACTTCCAAAGCCACTGGGCAATATTAAATCACACTGTTACAATGTTCAGAATTTCGTAACTAAAGCTTGGTAACCCAAGCACTTGGGTTACCCTACCTGCCTTTTAACAGGGCCTAAAGGCCTGGCTAAACCAGGAAACATTGTTACGGAAACATTGTTTCTTGTTATGTCTCTGGGGTGGCTAAATTAGTTGCTGTTGCTGCCCTGGTGGCTAAATGAGGAAACATTGTTTTAGAAAACAAAGGGTCATGCAGCGAGTTATAAAAAAAACAACAACAACAACTTTCAAAGAAGTCTGGGGAGACTTCCTTTTTGTTCCAGGGCTTGTTCCCTCATAAATTGTGATCTCTGGATTTTCCATTTGCTTTTGTAATAGTCCACTGTGATATCATATTTCTCTGACATCTGTGCAGTCTTCACAAGCTACATCCCACAAACAGGCTCTGTCCTCATACAAGGCAATAAGTAACTCCCTCTCCTCGTTCTTCCAATTCTTTTCCTTCTTTCCCTTCCCTTTTCTGTGACATGCTTGTGGTTCTTCTACTTTAACCTCGCAATGAGTCATTGACATATGCTCGCCATTGCTGGGAAACATTTTTAACGAGTAGCACTGGAACCTAGTCAATATTGTTTTTATGGTGGCTAAACTGGGAAACATATGTTTCAGAAGCAAAATTTGTGTCCGGGAAGCAAAAATGTTTTTTGACTTGAGGCAAAAACATTGTTTTGTTTCTGAGCAGCAAAATTTGTTTCTGCAACATACATGTATGTTTCCCACACAGCTAAACTGGGAAACATTTGCCTCCACAACAATGTTTATGTAGCAATGTTTCCTAGTTTAGCCAGGCCTTAAGGCACGAGAGATGGCAGGTATGACATAGACTCTACCCACAAAGCACCATGCATATAAAGGCAATTACTGCGCTTTTCAATAACATGCGGACTCTAAAATTCAAAGCTCAACTGATGAATGCGTTTTT